GAAGGTGCAATACAAATCAATATTACAAAGCCTCATTGTTGTGCCCCCCTTATTAATACTAACAATTCAATAATAATACATTTTTAAACACACAATCTCTGTATTTGTTTTAGTGATGAGTGGACGAGGTGATGCTCGTTGCTCCTAAAGTTTGCCTCTGGCCTCTCGGGGAATCTGCTGCATTGAGATTATTATTGTTTGCAGGAATCTGCAATATGCAATTAGGTGACTGCTTTATCCAGCCTGAAGTCACACTTTTTAGTAACTCGTATTTAAACCCTCAATAGACACCCGATGCCGCCTCCATTGTCGTCCTATTTGAAGGTTATTACAAAGAAACGCAAAAGCTTGACTACTGTATCAGCCTCTTCTCACACGTCTCACTATATGTAAGCGGACTGCAGTGGGAAACGTAACGAGCTCAAGTGCATCACTTAAGGAAGCAGTGTGAGGAATTCAGAGGAATCGAGTGGTGAAGGAACAGATCTGTCGATGCAGAGTCGTAGCCTCCACCTGCTGGTTCCTCCTCAGGTAAACACGGACACCACTGTTACTGATGTCTGCACTGTTAGCGCTGTTAGCGCTGTTAGCAGTGTGAATATCTGATTGCTTCTCTCCGGCCTCGAGTGCTGTAATATTGATGCGATCCAGAGGCCTTGAGGTCCGTCACTCTCTGGCTGCCAGGTACTTTACATTATATTGTGGAGGGTGTAAAGTGACGAGACAGGAGACGGAGATGCGTGTCAGCGAGTCAGCTTTACTCTCCACTTCAACACTACAGAACAACACGTGGGAACTACTGCAGACAGCACGTTAACCTCACATCAAAACCTTTTCCTTAAAGGTACAGTCCCCTGGTGAATGTCTCTCCAGCGTTACTTGTGGGTCACCACAATATTACATTAAATGTCATTTAGCTGACGCATTTATCCAAAGCGACTTACAATAAGTGCATTTCAACCATAAGGACACTAACTCAGAAGAGCAAGAAACAAGAAAGTCCAATTTAATTAAATAAGAAAATCTACAATTTACAATTTGCTATAGATAAGCACCGTTATAAGTACAATTTAAGTGCTACAATTTGTTAGTCTTTTAGTGGAGGTGGAGTCTGAAGAGGTGAAGGCTCTGTGTGGTCCTGGTGTCTTCAGAGAGCTCGTTCCACCATTTCGGAGCAGGACAGCAGAGAGCTATAAGATGCTGGTAGCACACCTGAGCACTCCCTGATCTCCCAGTAGGAAAAACCAGTGCGGTATGAATACGATATTGTGTGTGTGTGTGTGTGTGTGTGTGTGTGTGTGTGTGTGTGTGTGTGTGTGTGAATACAGTCATCGTATCCTCATATAACAGTGTATGATGTCACATGAAAAGTTGTAGATTTTAATACACATGCTGAATGAGACCAGCCTGAGTAGATGTTTCTATTTACCTGATTACCTTTAGTTTACTTAATGTTTCAAAACATGACAATTGTCTCTCAGAAATAAAAAGCTTCATTTTCTTACAAAAGCTAAATAGTTCTTTATCAAATTCGCAATGACATGAACCTGGGACGTAGAAGATGATATCGGGTCCAGTACTTCCAAACATAAGAAGCCAAACCTTTGCATGATAACAATTTGTGCAGCAAAGGGTTTCACCTTTGCACCTTCAGTCTAACAGGGCGGAGCGACGGTTAAAGGAAATGAATATCATTCGACCCTGGTGAGCTTTATCTGGTACCACGGGAATCAAATCTCACCTCACCATAAAATGTGGAGACTGAACCTTGAACTCCTCCGTCAGCCGGCATGTGACCTTTGAATAGCTCGTAGACTTTTCAAAGATAGTGTGTGTGTGTTAACATATATGAGTATATGCCCTCCATTGTCACAATCTGTTGTATTTACTTTCCTATACATTATATACAGTATTGTGTGTTAAGCGGTGGCCAATAGGATGCCCCTGAATGGACATGTGACCTAGGAGAGGTCAAGTGGATCTGCGTTCAATAAAGACGACTCAGTTCAAGTCAAACAGCCGTGATGCTCCACTTGTGTTATTTGTACTGCGATAATATTCGGTCTAGCATTGGGTATGAACGCCGGGACCGTTGAGCGAACCATCTCTGCTAACAGTGTGTCATGATAGAGAATGTTATTTGTCATTTTACCACGTTCACATTTAGCTATAGGCAACAAAACAACTTAGTTATGTTTGTATAGAAACATCATTGTAGGCTGAAAATAAGTATATAAGTAAATCAGTATTTGTAAATCATAAAACGATAAAGGATAAAATCATAAACTATGTAAAGAAACATCATCTTGAACCGTGGTGGTAGTTCTGCTGTTAAATTATTCTATTATAATTATTCTCTAATTATTGTGTCTCAGTGAGACTTAATCAGAGAATTGTGGGTAGCGATTCTACACGAAGTGACGACTCTCTGAGCTCTGATTAAAAACGCTCAATATTGTATTTTACTGGAGGGAATAATTGTGCAAAAAAAGAGAGCGTTGTTTGTAACGTATTAACGTGTGTGTCTGTGATGTTGTGAGTGAATAGATGAGGCCCTGAACAGACGCCAGATCAACAAAAGCTTTAAAAACAGGAGTTTAAAGTGTGAAACGGCCCTGCAGCCAGAGCGCAGGTCTCAATCCAGTTGAACATCTGTGGGGGTCTGAAGGGGACAGAACTCCTTGCGAGCGCTTTTGTAAAGAAGAGCGGCCAAATGTCGCCATGTCAAGAGTGTAATGCTGATGGATTTATAGTGTAATCACATTAAAAGGTGTTCAGCAAAGTGTTAGTTTAAGGGCGTGAATATTTATGCAACCAGGATATTGTAAGTTTCTCAGTTTTTTTTTAAAGCAATCGTTTACGTTATAGGTCACATTAAAGGTGGAAAAAGTTTGGACGTGATTTGTCTTTGTCTCATTTTTTTATATTGCATAAACCTGTTTTCCTAACAGGCCTGAGTTGACTTCTTACTGTGTTTCACATTTAGTCAATCAAGTCCAGAACTGCTCCCTGGTGGTGGTGGAGGGGTAAGATCATATTTACAATACTGCCTGCTGATTGGTCTGGAACTTGCTCATTTTATTTCTTCTATATATTTCCAGTGAATGAAGGAAATGATGCAAACTTAATTTCTCCACAGACCAGATTTGACATGTGCAATAGTAAGCCTCACGTGAGCAAGAAGTCCTCCAGCTTCTTCTCTCTCTAACTTCCTGCACGAGTCTCGCTGTCTGACGAAGGTTCTGTTTTGTTAATGGTGCTTCTTCGTATTGGATTGGATAAATCTCATGATTCAGGATTGTATTTTAAGTTTTGAGAGGACAGCATAATATGCGAAATTGTTAATGTTGTTACATGAACGTTTACGGATTAAGGGTTTAGGATAGGAAAGAGGAAACACATGTTTTGACCTTATAAGTGAGACCTTTTGATAATATAATCAGCCATATTATGGAGTACATATAAAAGAGATGCTCTGTAGATTTACCTATAGGCTCAGGTAGTATAAGAGGTATAAAGTCATCCTTATTGACACACCCATATATGTGCAGGTATTCTTTGTTTTTCTTATTTTTATATGTGCATGTGAACTAAATCTGTAAAATACTAAATATATATACTTGTGTTGAGATGTTTGTCTTGTGTAAAGAGACAGAAGTGACAGCAGTTCTGCGAGGAGATGAAATGAGTGCAGGTGATACAGGTGATCCCTTCTTTGTGCTTTTCGGCAAGGGACCGTTCGACCGGAGAACAGGGTTGTTGTTGTTGTTGTTGTTGTTGTGTTGAACTTTTTATTTAGTTCACTTTCTACTGAATGCTGTTGAACAATCAACCTTTCTCTGTCTATTCTCTCAGCGTATGAACACTTTTATCTCTAGATGAAGGAAGTCTTTCTTTGGAAGTCGAGGCCTCCACCGTCTTTGCACCGTCTTTTTGACATTTCTCTGTGTGCACTCGGCCCTGACACCCTTTTATGGGTGTTATTCTCTGCTAAACAGGAACAACGGGGCACGAGCTTTCAATTTACGACACGTCGGGATTCATCATTCTAAGACGGCACCTGCGAACAATTCCGCTGTTTCGGAACACGTCTTGAATCGTAGACTTTTCTTAGGAACTTTCTTGAGAACAAGAAATAACTTTATGATGATAAATGATGATTTGATATTGGTGAATGAGGCCCGTTGTCACAAAGCTGGCAAAACAGGCTATTTTTCTGAGCTCATCACATCTGGGCGTTTTACGTGGTGAGAGCGGCGCTACAAATATATGATGACCAGATCATTGCAGCTTTGATATTCCTCATTATAATCATTATTTCAGAGATAAATAGATAAACAATTGCTAAATAAAGCATCTTCTCCAGAGGCGGAATCACTTGTGATTGTCTCCTAGATTGAACCCTGAGAGATGGATAGAAATGTTCTGTAGGATCAGAAATACTGACGTTTTCTACCAGACACTGAACAGAGGTCAGATTGTGATGAAAACAGTCTGCAACCAAAATGTGTTCTTTGTCTCCAACCTGTTGGACTAAACATTAAAACTAAAATGATCTCTCTACATTAAATGTGTATATGGATGCGTTTAATATTTGTTCTTAAAGATAAATAATTTAACATTATTCTGCATCATCATCAATAAACACTTTAAACTGCAAATAAAATACCTGAAGGAACCGAACCATTTATTCACAAAACAGTTTACTATGAAACACAATGAAGAACTTGTTTCATGTTAAAGATAAATAAGGTAAGATGAGGCTTTATGTGATGACGTAACTTAAAACAAAAGCCTTTTAATGCAAGCTTAACATTGTTGTTCTTTAGAAAAAAAGTAGCTATACATTTCAAAATAAAATGATCCCAGTAAATCTACTCTAGATGTTTACACCACAAATACTATTTTGAGTTTCTCATTCTTTAATTCTTTGAAAATATCTACAGAATAGAATAACAAAAAACTATAATAAACTGATGAATCAATGAATTTGATCTCACCACCTTCACTGAACATTACAGAGAAATATCAGTTTTTCAGACAGATTGTGATATCAGCAGTTTCAGCATCACCAGACTCTCCAATATTGAAATATGGGAAGAGTTTCTCAGTGAAAGTGTCTCTATAAGTGTAGATGTGAGTCGTGTCTTCAGGGTCGTAAAAGGACACGTCCCCCCTGTCGTAGTCCAGCTGGACTCTGATCCTCTGGAGACTCTTCTTCACTCGGAGAGGCCGACCAACTCCATTAGTGTATATCTCATTGTGAAGAGCTAAACACCAGAATCCATCACCTGTTGAAGCACCTGTCTCTCCCTTTCTGTCAACTGACTCTTTAACCAAACCTACAAACCATAGAGGATGGTCTCCCACCTCCACCTCCCAGCTGTGTTTCCCTGAGCTGAAGCCCTCAGAGCCCAGAACATCTGCATACTTAGTGAATCTCTCTGGATTATCAGGAAGCTGCTGCTTTATGATTCCATATCTCACACTGGTCAGATCATCAGACAGAGAGAGAAAGTAGTTTGCAGTGTTTGGGTCCAGAATGACAGGACTGAAGTGGACCTGGTCCTTCATCTTCTCCCAGACTCTGAAGGACAGGTTGCCCAGGTGTTTGGCCACATCTATCAGCGCTCCTGAGACCAGCTGTGGATCTGTCAGTGAGCTCTGGACTCTGGCTCTGGTCTGAGTGGCTTTATAACTGCTGAGGAACGACACCTTGTCTTTCTGCAGGTCTTCTTCAACAGCAGAGATGCTGTCTGACAGAGAGGAGATCTGCTCCTCAATCATCTTCATCTTTCTGCTGATAGTCTTCCCCCTCTGCTCCTCTTCCTCCCTCAGAGCTGCCAGTCTGGACTCCTCTTCCTCTCTCAGGAACTGGTGGAGCTTGTTGAACTCTGCTCTGATCTTCCTCTTTGTGGACACCAGCTGCTTCTTGGAGAGTTGGATCACTTCATTGTATGTTTTCTCCACTTGTTGGTGTTTGTCTCTCTTGTCCTGCAGAGACTTCAAGTCAGATCTCAGCTGGTCCTTCAGGTTCCTGACTGTTTGTTCTAGAGGAACCACCTTGTGACTCTGGTGGAGAGAGAACTCACAGACAGGACACACAGCTTTCTGCTCGTCCTCACAGAACCAATAAGGGACTTCTGGATGTTCTTCACACACCACCTCCTCTTTCTCCTTCTCTGGTTCCGTCTGAGTTGATCCATTATTCTGTCTGTCAGCAAAGGAGTCAGCGAGTCCCTTCAGTGTTAAGTTCACTGCTGGTTCATCCGTTGAGGACTGCTTAGTAGAGATACCTCACCCTGTGATGTGTCCCTCGGCTCCTTTCAGCAACTTGGAAGCAGTGTTGCCAACTCCCCAGCAAGGAAAGCTGCTCTTCTTCTTCTTTAAATTTGATTGGCAGGCCGCACCAACTTGAATAGGTGCACATCGCCACCTACTGTAACGGAGTGTGCGATATCAGGGTGTCATATCATCACTGATCTTATAGATGAACAGACAAAAACCACAATACAATAAAAAAAGAATCTACTGACAAATAAATCCTACAGGTTAATACTGTGCCCTCTAGTACTGCACCGTCCTACCTGCCAGAATCCCTCCAAACTGTCCCAACTGACTCACTATTTGTTTTAAGATGTACTTCTCTGAATTGCCTCTTCGACACTTCAGGATAACATGCTTCACATATTCTGTAACATTACACATTGTGCATTTACCCTTTTTTGCCATTAAATACAGCGTTCATTTAAGTCCTGTATGTCTGTACTGTACTTCCCTTCGTATGTCTTCACATTTATAGATTTCTGAATGTTACGATAATGTCTTCCTTTTTTGTTCTTATTCCACTTCTTCTGCCATAAATTGCATGCTGCCTCTCTTATTACTGATCTAGCTTCCCTCTTTCCAAAGAGATACCTTCTCTTCTCTTAGTTTTAGTGCTCCATTTGCAATCATATCCGCTCTGTCTTTGCTCTCTACACCTACAAGAGCAGGGACCCACCAAAATTGTAGATTCACTTCCAGTCTTTGAAGTCTGTATAGACCATCAGGGATATTCCCATTAATAAATGCTCTCTGACAGATGACCATTCTCTCAGGTCGGACATCTTCTAACCATTGTAGTAGATTATTGTGAGAGTTTGTCCTGCAGCAGAGACGGGATGATGGTGTTGAAAGCGCAGCTGAAGTCAGACAAACAGGATCCTGGCGTAGGTTCGTGGAGAGTCCAGATGCAGGAGGATGAAGTGGAGGGTCATGTTGTGTCATGTCATCGTCTACAGACTTGTTGACTCTGTAGGCAAACTGCAGGGGGTCGGTGAGGGTCTTTAGGTGGGACAGGACTAGCCGTTTAAAAGACCTCATGACTAGAGAGGTCAGGGCGACGGGCCTGTAGTCATTAGGTGCTGTGATTCTGGGCTTCTTGGGGACAGGGATAAAGGTTTAGGTCTTGAAGCAGGCTGGTACGTGGCGTGTCTCTTCAAATGGCTCTACAAATGTCTCATTCACAGGTTCTAACTCACCTCACCATACCTGTTCTTCAGGAAAACGACTTTTCGGCCTTCAGGCGCAGAAACCTGTTTTATTTCCCTGTGCACCGATCTTGAGTCACAGGGAGTGTTCACTTAAAAACACAGTCAACACTGAGACTTTCACTCATTTCTTGGGACGAAGACAAAGCCGTTTCTTTCACACACGTTTTGGTGCACTCACTGAAGTCAGAGCATTTATTCAATAATTCTTTGTCTCATATCGACCATCTGGCCTGTCAGGAATCGAGTCTCTTCGCCGTGCAGACGCACTCCTGGTTTGTCCACACCAGAAACGGGAGTTTGGTTCTCCTCAACCAATGTCGCCGCTCCTCCAGAGCCAGCTTCATGCCAGTAGTTCTCGTCACCAATGTCATAATTTATCTCGGCGGGGGAAAGCCGACTTGAGAAAAGGCCATGGGGATGGAGCTTTTGGTCAGTAGCCCGGGTGCTGGGACAGAACACCTCCAAACCCTGTGTCGTGGGAATCCACCTCCATCAAAAAACGACCCGATATCCGGATCTGGTACTTGGAGGATGGGTTGCTCAGGTGAACCTGGATTCCAGGGTCTGGAAGTCCTCTTCAGCTGCAGGAGTCCACATGAAAGGTGTCTTGGAGGAGGTGAGGCCAGTGAGCGTGGAAGCCACCGCACTGTAATTCCCGATGAACCTCCGATAGATGTTGGCGAACCACAGGATATTTACACCAAAAAACACAATTTAGAACATCGTCCCTCACACACCGAGTTCTGCATATTTCTACTTCAGTTTACCATTCTTTCATTTGAAAATATTTACAGAAAACAACAACAAAAGGACTATAATAAACATCCTGACGAATCTCTTCGACCTCACCACCTTCACTGAAAATCACAGAGAAATATTAATGACAGATTTTGATATCAGCAGTTCCCAGGACTTTCCAATATTAAACCATGAAAGTGTCTCTGTGAGCGTAGATGTGAGTGGTGTTTTCGGGGTCGTAGAAGGACACGTCCCCCCCGGTCACAGTCCACCTTGTACTTGAAATAGTTATTCAGCTCATCCAAATGACGCTAAGGACAAAGTAGTCGCGCCGTGCAGAACTTCAAAGAGTGTTTTCAATGTTGCAGATTCAGAGATGAGATTGAACACGGAGGGTTTATTGACGCTGAAGCGGCTGCTGTGTCTCTCCTTTACTGTACGAGACGGGTTGGATCCCATTTACTGTCTCCACCGATGGAGGACACTTCAACACAACTGGGGCGTACCTGTCAGGTGTGTTATTAGAACAGAAAATGTTTTTGCACCTGAACACGTCGTGTGATCAGGTTGATTTAGAATCCAGTGTAAACATAATATAAAATACTAAAAGATATTTTATGTATAGCTTTTAAGATGCCGTTATGTAAAGAGATGTTCTTAACACATCCCTTGTATCGAGTGCTGCTGCTTTTAAATATTGAAGAAGGTTAACAAAAAACACAGCAATTAGAACACCACAATATGAAATAAATACACAATTGAGGCATAATTAAACATTTTCTGTCACCACATACTTTTTGGCGTGGAGTTTGCTTATATTTGTAATTTTCTCTCATCTTTTGACTACAGTCAGTTAATCTGTTATCAGGAATAAGGAATCAGGAAACATTTATTTGCCAAAATATGCCAAACATACAAGGAATTTGTCTTGGCGGTTAGTGCGTGACAGTAGACAGACAAGACAACAGTGCATAAGTAATAAAATAAAGTAAAATGAAATGCTAATGCAATGGGTTAGTAGAATATTATCAGACACAATACTCAACACTTAAATAGCTTCAGCGCCGGCTTGAACTTAGCTCCTCCATATTTAATTTAGGGGGCATTTTTCCTTTGTGGTAACTGATTGGTGTCTGACCGCAGACACGTGCAGGGGCTCTAGAGCGCGGCTCACGTGTTAGCGCGGCACCAGGAGCGGCCGTTCACGGACGACTCGGCGTCCTGGGCCGAGAAGAAGTGTCTGCAGTGGGGCGACCAGGAGAAGAAGCCGCCCTCCTTCCTGGACGAGCTCATCGACTGTTTGGACTCTGGCTCAGGCCCGAGCGGGTCATGTGAGGGCAGGCATTAGTAATAGTAACCTACTTTTGTTCGTGCATGTGGTCTTTGCCCTTGTAAACTGAGCAGTTTACTATAAAGAAACAATGAAGAACACGTTTAATGTTAAAGATCAATAAGGTGAGATGAGGCTTTATGTGGTGACGTGATTTAAAACTAAAGCCTGAACTTAACGTTGTTGCTGTTTGGAAAAAAAGTAGTTAAAATAAATGATCACAGTGAATCTACTCATCTGTACTTGAAGGATGTTTACACCAAAAACACTATTTACACATTATCCCTCACACACACTTCTGCTTATTTAACCTTAAGTTTCTCATTTTGTAATATAATATATTTTGTAAAATATATTTACAGATATATTTTACAGAATATAATAGAATACAACAACAAAAAAACTATAATAAACATGCTGATGAATCACTTTGACTTCACCACCTTCACTGAACATCACAGAGAAACATCAGTTTGACAGATTTTGATATCAGCAGTTTTAGCGTCACCAGACTTTCCAATATTAAAATATGGGAAGAGTTTCTCAGTGAAAGTGTCTCTGTGAGTATAGATGAGAGTCGTGTCTTCAGGGTCGTAGAAGGACACGTCCCCCCTGTCATAGTCCAGCTGGACTCTGATCCTCTGGAGTCTCTTCTTCACTCTGACAGTCTGACCAGCTCCATTAGTGTATTTTCCACTGTTATAAACTAAACACCAGACTCCATCTTTTGGTGAAGCATATCTCTTTCCCTTCCTGTCAACTGACTCTTTAACAAAACCTAAATTCCAGTGAGGAAGGTCTCCCACCTCCACCTCCCAGCTGTGTTTCCCTGAGCTGAAGCCCTCAGAGCCCAGAACTTCTGGATACCAGGTGAATCTCTCTGGATTATCAGGAAGCTGCTGGTTTGTGTCTCCACGTCTCACACTGGTCAGATCATCAGACAGAGAGAGAAAGTAGTTTGTAGCAGTAGTTTTATAGTGTAATCACATTAAAAGGTGTTCAGCAAAGTGTTAGTTTAAGGGCGTGAATATTTATGCAACCAGGATATTGTAAGTTTCTCAGTTTTTTTTTTAAAGCAATCGTTTACGTTATAGGTCACATTAAAGGTGGAAAAAGTTTGGACGTGATTTGTCTTTGTCTCACTTTTTTATATTGCATAAACCTGTTTTCCTAACAGGCCTGAGTTGACTTTTTACTGTGTTTCACATTTAGTCAATCAAGTCCAGAACTGCTCCCTGGTGGTGGTGGAGGGGTAAGATCATATTTACAATACTGCCTGCTGATTGGTCTGGAACTTGCTCATTTTATTTCTTCTACATATTTCCAGTGAATGAAGGAAATGATGCAAACTTAATTTCTCCACAGACCAGATTTGACATGTGCAATAGTAAGCCTCACGTGAGCAAGAAGTCCTCCAGCTTCTTCTCTCTCTAACTTCCTGCACGAGTCTCGCTGTCTGACGAAGGTTCTGTTTTGTTAATGGTGCTTCTTCGTATTGGACCCCTGCTGAGTTAAAGAGCTCCTCGTCGTACTGCAAGACGATCTCGTCCGCCGTGATGCTTTGGGTCACGTCCCCGAACACCATCGGGGACGTGATGTCCTTAAAACCTTCACTTATCTTCTGAGGTTTCCGGCACGCAGCAAAAAGATGGATTTAGATTGGGGTTGTGTTACATATATATATATATATATACATATACATAGTTGATAATATAAACAGACACGACCCAGTGGACTGGTTGCTGAGGAAAAGGATTCTCACCGTGCAAGATCTGCTATGGTGGTTTGGGTCTTGTCCTATTAAAATATAAGATTCACATGTTTAAAATGAGGGAGGACACAGTATCACACACCTGCAGGTAACTGCTGCTTAGCTGCATTCACTTTACACGACAGTCAACTGGACACTTTATTTGTTGGTGTTTTTATTTTAGTTTACTTTCTTGTCTTTTTACTTAGTTCACTTTCTACTGAATGCTGTTATAATCAACCTTTCTCTGTCTATTCTCTCAGCGTATGAAGACTTTTATCTCTAGATGATACAGAGGAGATGATGATGTTGATGATGTGGCACTATAGGAGGATGTTGACAGTGACGATGACGATGAGGATGAAGATGCTCTCCTCTGGGGCCCCGTGTTGTCGGTGCAGAACGTGGCCCTCGCGTAGCTCAGAGAACACGAGGAGCACCAGGACTGAGTGGAGCTTCACTGAGAGGCAGCAGAGAGAGAAGGAGCTCCAGCAGGGGGCGCAGTCACACAACGTGAGGCACAGACACACACAGACGGCCCAGTGATGCTTCTCATGCAGCCGCACAACCAGTTGACTTTTGCACTGACAACACTGAGTTGACTTCTCTGCTCTTTCACGCTTTCTCCCGTTGCCTCGTTTCTGACTTTATTCCATCGTTTCTCTGCAGTCGCCTCTTTCTACTTCACCGTTGTCCCTTTCTGTCCCTCTGGGTTTCTTCTGTATAATAATATTAATCCTCTAGTTCTCTGATTCTTTGGATTAGTGCTCTGTTCTCTTACGTGCTACACGTGTTTCTATGACTTCAAGAAAATGTGACGGTGTCATCAATAAAATGATCATTTAAACAGAAAATTGAGTCAGCTGTGTATTTTTATTGAAGTCGTTCATGTTTTTGACCAAAATATTTGCTGACCAGGTTGATCTCATGCAATTTAATGAACACATCCGTGACAATATCACCTTTTAAAGGGGACACATCCACTTTTTTAGTGCTTCTACACCTTAATTTGGGCACACATATGGCAAATAACAATTCAATTACTACATCAGCATCATCAGTATTTGATTCATTCTGAGCAGGAACATTTTGTTATTTTATTTGGAGGAATTATTTATAAATCTGAAACTGGAATAAAGTCCTTCTAGTTAAAGACTGATGATCTTTTCTTCATCAGGAATAGACACTAATATGTAGCTGCAGCTCACCAGTGTTGGTGCTCAGTGTCCTTCACCTCTTGTACGTACTTCTACATCTCATCAACCAACACAAACCCAGAATTAAACAATGAGAGGAACACAGGATGAGGAATGGAACAGAAAGGTGTGAATGAGAATAAAGTCTTTTATTTAGTAGAACTCTGGAAACACAACATCTGAATTGAATTTAAGATACTTCAGATTACACAAAAAATAAGCAGTGATTAATAATTCTATTTCCATATTTAGTTTCAGAGATAAAGTAGGATGAGGCTTCATGTGGTCAGGTAATTTAAAACTAAAGGCTTTTAATGCAAACTTAAATACTATTTAGAACATCGTCCCTCTCATTTTCAGTTTCTCATTCTTTAATTTGAAAATATTTACAGAAATTAGCAACAAAAAAACTATAATAAACATCAAACAAGAACAGAATCACTTTGACTTCACTGAACATCACAGAGAAACATCAGTTTGACAGATCTTGATATCAGCAGTTTTAGCATCACCAGACTCTCCAATACAAAACCATGGGAAGAGTTTCTCAGTGAAAGTGTCTCTGTGAGTGTAGATGTGAGTCATGTCTTCAGGGTTGTAGAAGGACACGTCCCCCCTGTCATAGTCCAGCTGGACTCTGATCCTCTGGAGACTCTTCTTCACTTTGACAGTCTGACCAGCTCCATTAGTGTATTTTCCACTGCGATGAACTAAACACCAGCATCCATATTTTGGTGAAACATATCTCTCTCCCTTCCTGTCAACTGACTCTTTAACCAAACCTACAAACCAGTAAGGATGGTCTCCCACCTCCACCTCCCAGCTGTGTTTCCCTGAGCTGAAGCCCTCAGAGCCCAGAACATTGGCATACTTAGTGAATCTCTCTGGATTATCAGGAAGCTGCTGGTTTGTGT